ATAATTCTGTAAATCTAAAACTGTTTTCAAATTAAGTTTGTTTGTTTTTTAAATTTAACCATCAGGCCAGCCGAGTGGCTAAGTTGGTTAAAAGCGTGAGCTCTGAGCAACAGGGTCGCCGGTTCGTTTCCGACATGGACCAGTGAGCTGCGCCCGAGCTGAGTTGCCGCTGAGCTGCCAACAGGTGGCAGGATGGTTCAGCTGGTGAGAGCACGTGCTCCTAACAACAAGGCTGCCTGTTCGATGGTGGGCTATGCCTGCCCGCAACTAAGATTAAACATGGCACCTTGAGCTCAGCTGCTACGAGCTGCCGACGGGCGGCCAGATTGCTTAGTAGTTAGAGCGTGTGCTCTTAACAACAAGGTTTCTGGTTTGACTCCCACATGGAATGGTGGGCTGTGCTCACCCGCAACTAAGATTGGACACAGCACCTTCAGCTGGGCAGAGGCGAGCTGCCGACGGGCGGCCGGGTGGCAACTGGACTTGGAGCTGAGCTAGCTGCACCCTCCACAACCAAGATTGAAGGGCAACAACTTGGCTGTTCCCCTTCCCCAATTCCCAATAAAAAAATTTTTTTTAATTTAACCATCAACTGATGAATGGATAAAGAAGAGGTGGTATATATACATAATGGAATATTATTCAGCCAGGAGAAAGGACATCTGCTGCTTACAACAACTTGGATGGACCTTGAGAGCATTCTAAGCAAGATAAGTCAAAGAAAGATAAATACTGTACAATCTCACTTATATGTAGAATCTAAAGAAGTCAAACTCAGAGAAACAAAGAATAGAATGGTGGTTACCAGTACTTGGGGGAAATAGGGAGATTTGGTCAAAGGGTACAGTCTTCTAATTTATAGGATAAATAAATCCTGGGGATCTAATGTACAGTATAGTGATCATAGTTAATAATACTATATCATATACTTGAATGTTGTCAAGAGAGTCGATCTTAAATGTTCTCACCACAAAAAGGAAATGTGAATTATGTAACGTGATGTGATGAAGTGGTTAGCTAACACGATGGTGGTAATCACTTTGCAATTTATAAGTCTAGTAAGTCAACACTTATAAACTTAAACCCAAGCGTATGTGTCAATTACATCTCAATAAAGCTGGGAAAGTTTTCTTTAAGGACAAAAAATACGAGGAAGGGTTTGCCCTATTAGTACATGTGATAAAGACAAATAATAAATATAACGTGCTCCTGGGGGAGGACTTGTCATACAGGGAGACAAAATGGAAAGCCCACATAAATTCTTAACAAAGTAATTTGGGATAATGGCAGGATCCAAATGAATAAAAAAAGAATTTATAAAATGCACCTGAGCAAGTATCACGTTCTAGAAGAATCACATTAGATTATTTTTTACATCATGCACAGATTTTTTAAAAAGTAATTTCCAGGTTAAAGAATTAAATATGGGGGGGGCAATAGAGGGGGAGGGGGGTTGTTACTTTGTGAGGGTGAAAAGGATAACTATTGCATTGTTCTGTACACCTGAGACTAACAATAAAAAATAAAAAAAGAATTAAATATAAAGAGAAAAAGAGAAAAAAAATGGAAAAACCTAGAACCTAGAACATGTAATGTACTTAACTGATTTTGTGATAGGAAAAAAAAAATCTCTCTAAGCATGAAAGTGAAGAAATTACAAAGGGAGAAAATCAGCAGATTTCACTACATAAACATTTAAAACTTCAGAATTTCAGGAATCAAAAACAATACTAAAAAGCAAACAACCAGGAAAAATACTAACCACATAACAAAACCCAGTTAATAACATAAATATAAAGTCCTCATACTGACTGATAAAAAAGCCACCACAACTACAGTGGAAAAATGAGCAAAGGAGCTGACAATTTACAAAGAAGAAATTCACAGCCCCCCCCCCCTCAAAAAAAAATCTGACACTTGAAAATGTACTGAACCTCATTAGCAATTCAAACAAGAAGATACATTTTCCATTTTTGGGGGGGGAGGAATGTTTTTATCCTAATTCGCAGTGTTAGGAGCAGCTTCTCTGAAACAAGTCCCTCAAATGCCTCTAGTAGAAGTTTAAACTCTCAAAACATTTTGAAAAGTAATTTGAAGAGTTGCCCACCCCAATCCATGTGTTAAAAATGTCCTAGGAATTCCACTTTGAGAAACTTAATCCTACAGAAAAAAAACAATCAAACATGCAAAGATTTACACACGAGGGAGCCTTTTGTAGCATTTTAATAGAGAAAAACTGAAAACCAAAATTTTCAGCCAAAATAAAACCATTAGCAAAATTCTAACTTTCTAGTTTGGGAATATTCCACTTTTTTCATTTAAACACTTTAAAAACTCTTTCCAAAGCACAGGTCCTGGTTTATCTCCAAGCATGTGTTGTCCAGAACCCCTGATATTTGCCCGGGAAAGATTGATCCTTGGGGTGTAGGATAGGGGTTTCCATTAAGGAGGCCCTCCCGGCAGGCAGTCCTGGGGGGCCTGAACCATCAACTGAAACCCGTTTCTCAGGCTCCTCTTCCTGTAAAGGGAATTCCATTGGCTGATTCAAAAGACACAGCCAAACCTAAACCACAGCTCCCGTCCCTGCTCTGAAGCCCCAGTGCCTGCTCACAGTCCTTAGAAGGAAATCGGAGTGTTCTAAAGCCTCAGTCCCCAAGTCAGAGCCTGGACCGATCGGCCCCTCCCACTTTCCCATTTCACCCTTCCTCAGCCCTGGTTCACACACACACACCTGTCCCTACATATCAGCCACCACCCAGCGAGCACAGGGAGACCTCCACTCCCAGTGGGTCCCCAGCACCTAGCATCGGCCAGGCAAATGGTCATAAGCTGATAGATATTCACTCCAGTTCTCCAAGGCTGCTTCGAGAGCCTTCAGTGAGCCCCTCGCTCGCTGACCGCCGTCAGAAGCTGGTACCTGAGCCAGCAGGTGACGTTTTCTACCCTCCGCCTGGCCTGGCCCCTGCAGGCTGCTGGCTCCTGTGTGAACCCTGCCCCCTGCACACTGGAGCCTCACAAGGCTGTGCACACAGCAGGGGCTCAGTTCATGCTGAGGTCCCCTCCATGCCTGGACCTGGGGGTGTCTGTAGGGAGGGTGGTTTTGGAAGCGGGGAGAAGGATTGGGTTTGTTTCCTAGAGGATGGAGTGAAAGTTACGCAGACTCGCTCAGCGCCCAGAGGGGACAGGAGAGGCTGGGGGATGGAAGGAGGGCTTTTAGAAGCTGATGGCCAGAGACGGGGCAAGGAGGACTACCCTCAGGTGCCCCAGCCTGGGCCCCAGGACGCTGTGTCTGGTTCCAACAGGCTGCTCTCCTGCCCTGCAACTGCAGCCAAGCGTTTTAGAGACAAATACCGATTATGAATCAGAAATTGCATCACCCTGGCGGGTGGCCCTGGGTAAGTCCCAGCAGTGTCCTGAGCCTCAGTTTCTCCAGTTGTAAGAGGAGGGGGTGGATTAGGTGATTTCTAAGCTCTCTCAGCGTGATGTCACTGGAAGTCCAAGAATCATCCAGAAACGGAGAGACTGGGAGGAAAGAGTGACCTGTGTCTGAGCTGAAGCCCCCCAGGACACACCTCACACCCCACGGCTTCACAACTCCCCCAAACTTGTTGATCCCTGACCCTGAGGTGGCAGCTGTGTTTTTGATGTTCCCAGAAATCTTTTTCTAGACCCCTGGCTTCTGGGCTTTGAGCTGCAGAACCCTAAGGACCCCAGAACTCCTAGAAGCCCAAGGACATCCAGACTCAGCCTGAGGACTGCATGCGAGTGTCACACCCACAAGTGCCCGTTTCCAAATATCTATATACAATGCAGTTGTGATCAATAAAGACAAATTCCTCTAAAAGGGGTGACCAGCTCCTACAGCCTCAGGGCCACTGTATTTCCTTAGCAAAGAGCAACTACCTGTACGATTTGGCAAGGAATCTGCCGTTTTATTTCATTTTTTTGGCTTTATAAAGCTATCCTTCTGGATAGAAAGGTGGAGAGGGGGCATGTGATAAAGCAGAGTAAAATATTAATCACAGGATCTAGACCGCCGGCAGAAATAGACCACACAGTGTTCAATGTACCCTCCCCGCTTCATTTTGTTGTAAGTCTGAATTTTGTCATTAAAAAATGTTAGAGGAAATACGTTCGTGCTACTCAGAAGGTTAGGAATCATACTCAGCAGCTGTTTGTCCTGAAACTCCCCACAGTGGGGTCTCCCAGGGCCCCTTCTCAAGGGCATGCCTCTAACACAGTTGAAAAGTTAGGGGTTGCAGGGGAGGAGGTGATGCCTGCAGGGGAGAAGTGGGGCGGGGGTAGGGGGTAGGCAGTGAGAACAGAGCAGGTGGAGGCGACCTGGCTGGCCCCGGGGTCTGCTGTTTTCCTAGGGAGAAGTGAGGGGGCAAACGTGGCAGGGGTGTGAGTTCGTCTGCCTTTGCGGGCTCTTCTGGCCTCTAAAACCCATGCTGAGAGCGAATTCTAAGAATTAAGAAAAAGTAAAAATGCGAACCCCTAAAAGGTTCCTCGCGTGCCAGGGGCTGGAGACGATGCCTCATTTCAACGTCTCAGCAAGTTTGGGAGTCAGTTCTCACCCCATTTCATAACCGGGATAGGGGGGACTCAGGAAGGTGAGGTGGCTTGCCGAAGTCACGCAGCCAGGAGGTGGCTGCATGGCATTTGAATCCAGCTCTCCGTCACTCGCCTGACAACGCAAGGCGTGCGGCGCGGGAGAGGGGGACAGCAGGTTCCCTGGGAGGTGTCTGGGGTCCGGCAGCGCTTACGTGTCGAGAAGGCGCCCTCGCCCGGCCGCCGCGCAGCCCTGGGGCGTCCAGGTGCGCCCAGGGCTCAATCGCGGGCGGCCGGGCCGGTGAGCGCCGCGACTGGGCGGCCGACGGGGCCGCAGAGGACGCTACTCGGGTCGTGGAGGGGCACCAGCGAGGACGCTACCTGGGTCGTGGAGGGGCACCAGCGAGGACGCTACCTGGGTCGTGGAGGGGCACCAGCGAGGACGCTACCTGGGTCGTGGAAGGGCACCAGCGCGTAGTTGACGATGGCCTGGCTGCGGCGGCTCAGGCTGCGCTCCAGAATGCGCGAGGCGCCGTCCATCACCTGCATCAGGTCGTCCCACATGGAGCCGGTGACATCGAAGACGATGGCCAGGGTGGCGTCCCCCGTGGTCCGGGGCAGCGCCGTGCCCGGCTCGTCGGCCGCCGCCGCCGCCGCCGCCGCCGCGCAGACGGCCAGCAGCCACCGCAGGAACAGCCCCCGGGACATCGTGCTGAGCGCGGCCGACTGGCTTCCGCGGCTGCAGTGCAGGCGCAGGTCGTGGCGTGCGCGACCGTCCCGTGCGCCCAGCGGCCACCCAGCGCGCAGCTGCAGCGCCGCGCCTCGCTCCGTCGGGCTGCGGCCGGCGCGCTCCGGACAGGGGCTCGCGGCGGGGTCCCCCTGCTGGGAGCCCGAGGCGGGTCCTAGAGCCCACCCCGTTCAGGGTCACGGGCCCCGCCTCCTCCGCTCCCCACACCGTGACTCAAACTTTCCCGGCCCCGCGGCTCGCCGGTCCAGATCCGAGGTTAGGGGAGGACGCGGGGCGGACAGCAATAAGGAGCTGGGGCCACCGCCAAGGCGGTGAGGAAAGGGGACGCACGGGACGCAGCGGACACCTGTGCCGCCCCCGCGCGCGCGCGCGCGCAACTTCAGCGGGGGCGGGAGAGGGAGGGGGAGACCCATCAGCCCCTGTCCCTGAGGCCTGGCCACAGTGGGGCCGTGGCTTTTGTTGCTTCCTCCACCAGTTCCCTAAACCCCCCACCCTCACCACACACACGAACTCCAACACCTTCTCATTTCTTTCCGCAGAGATCTGTGCTTCCTCGTTGTAGTTATTACTGTTACTGTAATCAAGCGCTCTATGTCGAGCATCTATGTGCTAAGCGTTTTCACATCGTTGTTATTGCCTCCAATACACGCTGCAGCCCTAGAAGGAGTCGCTAACACTAAACCCATTTTACAGGTGAGCAAACCGAGGCTGTCATTTACAAACAGGGGAAGTCATTTACCTAAAATCACTCAGCTCTCAAGTGACGCAGACAGGAATAGAAGCCAGACCTAGAAAGATCCCAAAGCCCCTGGCCTCTGCTGCCTCTCCTAAGTACTGTAAGACACTTTCACAGGCCATCTGATGACTCCCGAGGATGGGGAACAATGCCCCTCTGCCCACCTACCTCATTAGGTCCCATGAACTGCGTGTGAAGGCTCTGTTGGTGCTGCCTGGGCTGGGTTTAGCCATTCCCTCCCTAACAATGCTCCGGTCCGCCATCATTGCTCATGTCACGCTTATTTCTACCAGAGGCCTCTCTCACCATTGGCCTATGAGCCCCTTGAGGACAGAACTTTGTCTTGGTTCCCCCAAACAGCCCTCAGTTCCCAGCCCAGCCCCTGGCAAATGTGGGGGCCGTGGGGAGAACTTCGCCAAATGCTGCCTGCATAAATAAAGAAGAGAAGCTTTCGTGGGCCCGCCTGGCTGCAAGAACCAAGGGAGGGAGGGCAGCTTGCCCTACCTTGTCAGTCCCTCCTCTGAGAAGACCAGGCTCCCAGGACCCCACGAACATAGCTGGGGACTCTGGGTCTGTGACTGGGGGTGAGGGAGGAGACGTCTCCAGCCCCTGCCCCTCCAGGGCCCCAACCAGGAGGAAGGCCCCCACCTCATATCTCTTCCCTCTCCTTCAGTCTCAGCTCACACCCCACCTCCGGGGCTGCTTCTCCCCCTTACCCTGTGACCCCACAGCCTAGCGCTGACCACACTGTCACCATTGTCATCTCTTTAGGGCCGCCACTCCCACCCCAACTGTAAGCTCTGGGGCAGCAGAGACCCGGTGCCTGGCACATGGTAGGTGCCCAAGAAAGGGCTGCCACATGAATGGGTCAGCAGGTGTCCAAGAGGCCTGGTAGCTGGGCATTGGCCATTTGGGGGTTGGGGGGAGGCGCACACATCCTCCGGGATTCTGTTCTAGACCAGGGGCAAGGCTTGTATATAAGGAGGGCTGGGGTCTGCAAGAAATGGTCTCGTGGAACTGCCTGTCTCATGGGATAAGGAGAAAGCCAAGTACTCAGACCCAGGTGAGAGGAGAACTCACAGCCAATCTCATGAGAAGTTCAGTCACCGGCACTTGTGGACACTGGCTCTTTAAATCTCCCTGGGCTAAGGCTGTGATTGGCCCCAGGGCTTGGGCAGGACTGGGCCAGCTGTTGGAGAGAGAAGAGAAGCCCCAGCTGTGGAAAGCAAGGGTGAACAGGAGCCAGGAACCAGGCAGGGTTCACCGACGGTGACATTTCAGGCACAGTACAGGGGACCTTCAGGGACAAACAAGTCCTTCAGTCGTTCACTCCACACACATTTGCTGAGCCTAAGCTGGGTGTCAGGCACCCTGCTAGGCACTATTGGGGGAGGGGGGACATACAGATGTGCAAGAAATGCTTTCTACCCTGGGGAGAAGAGACACGTAAACAAACAATTCTAAGTCAATGACATAAGTGCTAATAGAGGAATTACCGAGAGCTTTGGGAGCTCAGAGGAAGGAGTGTCTGAGCCTAAGGGGTCAGAGGAGGCCATGGAGTGAGCCTGAGAAGCCTTTGCGAACAAGAGGGGAAGGGCATGTGAGGAGCAGGAACAGCATGTGCAAAGGCACGGAGACACCAGTGACCTACCGCTAGTCCAGTGCATCTGGAGGGTGATGGCACAGGCGAGGACATAGGCCAGATCTTGAGAAACCTTAAATGTCTTGTGAAGGGTGTGGGATTTCTCCAAAAACACTGAGGAGCTATTGAAGAATGTGGGGGTGGAGGGTGGGGGGACAGGGCAACCTGATCAATTTGCATTCCAGAAAGGTCACAGTGGCTGAAGTTCAGAGGGTAGATCTTGTAGACACCAAGAAGCCATAAACCTACTTACTACCTGAGGACATACCAGCAGAGCTGGCCCCAGAGAAGGTGGATGCTTCTCTCCAGGCTGATCCTGAAGGCAGGTTGATCATGGATTTGAGTCCTGAAAGAGCCTTGTGACCTTGAGCAAGGCCCTCCCCTGTCTGGCCCTTAGTTTCCCCCATTTGTAGAATTATTTGAGATGAGGGTGACTAACAAGATGGCCTCCGATAGTTCTTGCAGCCCCACCACTCTAGAACCACGGCCCAGGGGTCCTTTGCAGACACAGATAGGATGCGAGAGACCATCTGAGTTCATCATGGCAAAACCTCCCCCAGTCACATGGAAAGGAGTCTTGGGAGGGCACTGTGACCCCATCGGAGGGGCCAGGAGGGCCGCCCCAACTGTGGGCTCTCCAGGGCTCAGTGCTTCCCAAGAGTGTAACCATGGTAGCACTGAGCACGAGCACAGAAGGCACAGAGAAAACGCTTCCAAACCTCATCAATCAGTTTCCAGCCCCGCCACCTTGACCTTCCAGGCCGCCTGGGAGTCGCATTTTTTAACTCAAAATAATCCACATTTTTCGCTATTTCCAGAAGGAGCAGTCTCAGTGGAGTTGTTTGTTTCCCAACATGCCACATGTTTGCTAAGGAGAGCACCGTGGGCCTGGGCGGTTCTCGCCATGTTGTTGTCCACACCACCATTCACAGCCTTGGCTTGGAAATCCAGGCCTGTCGGCTGTGTCTACACTGGGGACCTGAGACCAGCTGAGGGGCTGGGTCAGAACCCAGGGCTCTGGACACTTGGCTGGTCAATGAAAAGTGGCCCCTCCCTACCAGCGGGACTTCCTTACACCCCCCCTCCCTTATGCCCCACTCCCTAAACGCGTCCTGGCCCCAGCCATATTGGACCCTCTGCGACTCTAACAAACATCTCTCACCTCGTGCTCCCAGCCCTCTTCCTAAGGGAATGTGCTCAGATCCTGGGAAAGAGTAAAAATACCGATGGTGGGGAGCATTTGCCCAATCCTTCCTGCGTGCCAGCCACACTGCTGAACGCCTCATTAGCTCCCCTCGAACAACCAGACTCAACTTCAGACATTTAGCACCTTTGAAATGCTGAAAACTCATCTCCTGCCCATATTTCACTAAAGTGCCAGGGCAAAAGGAGAGGAGAGAGGGACAGACAGACAACCACGTAGGTAGCAGGTGAGTCTGCCCGTCAGTCCACGGGTACACACCAGGGCCTGAGAAGTAGAACCAGCCTCAAAGCCTGTTTCTCTCCTCTAGGAAGGAACTAAAGAATTAAGTGAGGGCCCTGGAGGACCGGAAGAGCAGGGATTCAAAGGAACTGACAAACAACTTGAAGCTACTGAGGGTAAGGGGGCGGAGCCAGAAGTCCGCATAACTGCCAGAGCTCCAAGCAGCCAGGCACTTGAGTGATTTACTGCTGAAGCCAATCCCTCTGTGGAACCAGCCTCCAAATCACATGTACCATAAGGAATGGTTTGAGACAGCGCCAAGGAATAGTTGAGCAGCTCAAGAGACACAGGAACTGCTGCCCATCCCATGTTTTCGAAAACAAACAAATGAGCTCAACTAGAGCCGGCAGCTAAGACTCTCTCCCCACCACGCAGACCTGCCCATTGCGCCTCGGATGTGAGGCTGTCATCAGCGGAGAAGGAGCCAGCCTCGTCAGCAGGGTCAGAGCTCACAGTGCTGTATACTAAGGCTTGTTGTCATTTACGGCCATGATGTTACCTTTGTCATTGTCACTGGTGACTGGCAAGAATATTCAGGTTTACTGTCTGTCCCTTTTATATTCTCTCTCTCTCTCTCTCCCTCTCTCTCTCTCTCTCTCTCTCTCTCTCTCTCTCTCTCTCTCTCTCGTAAAATGTCCACTGAACCACTTTGTACAGTTTGGAAGACCCTGGTGGCTTCTTACCTAGCGGCTTTCACCGTGCTTTCTGGTTCAGTGTCACTCTTGCTCCACATGACCTGAGGAAGGGTGACTCTTCTCCCTCTCCAAGGTTAGTCCTGATGGGCCAGGTGACCCTTGTGGGTGGGGAATGGGCCTGTGATGCAGCTCTGGCCCATGGGACGTGAACGAACGTGTGCTAGTACATCTCCAGGAGAGACACAAAAGAACAAAGTCAGAGGGCTTCCAGGCCCTGATTTGAAGTCTTACTCTGCAGGAACAGTAGCTATCACGGCATGGTACAGGCATAAAGAAAGATGAACAGGCCGCTGGAACAGGAAAGAGAGTCTAGAAATAGATCCGCACATACATGAGCAATCGATTCTTGACAGAGGTGCCAAATGGGGAAAGAAAAGTCTTTTTCAGCTAATGGTATTGGAATAGCTGAATATCTATATGGAAAAACAGTGACTCTGGACCCCTGCCTTACACCATACACAGAAATTAATTTGAGATGATTCATTCATAGGCCTAAGTGTAAAAGCTAAACTCTAAAGTTTCTAGAAAAAAAGAGGCACAGGAAGAAAGGGCTCCTCTTCTTCCACTTGGCTGCATGGGACCCCTGGACTTGGCAGCCCGAAATCATGACGAAGCCTGCCCGCCAAGACGAGATGCTGAAAGACAAGAGCGCTTTGGAGCTGCCCTACTGTGTAGCTTTCTCGTCACGTGCGATAATGCATTTTTCCTTCGTAGTGTAGCCAGGTGCGTTGCGTTCTCTGTTACTTGCAGCCAAAAGCATGCTCGCCGAGACGTGCCCGTCCTTTTGTGTTTCCCTCCTATGGTGGACAGCTTTAAACACACCTATCCCTACTCAGGCAGCAAACAAAAAAACCAAGTGCGGTTCTCCTCATGAGGGTTAGCCAACATTTTTTTTTTATACCTAGATTTCTTACGTGTTGACTTTGGAACCCAACCCCCAGGGCAGGTGCTGGGGTGCCCTGAGGAGAGAGCTGTGATTGCCCACTGCAGAAAGTGAACCACGAGAAAGTGTCCCCAAAGGACAGAGACCACACTTGACTCAGCCTCATTCATATCCCCAAGCCCTACTAAGCACCTGGCACATAGTAGGAGCTCAATAACTAAGGGTTGTATGAATGGATGGGCAGAACAAGGAAAGTCCAAGCCCTCAGACTCATTGTTTTGTAAACCCACAAACCTACTCAGTACAGTTAAAATATCACCAGCACTATCCTAGTTCCTTTAGTAATTCCATTTAATTTATACTCTCCTGTTGCCTAAACAATTTACCCGAGGTGTTTGAAGAACCTGGTCAGAATTGGACAGTTTTTGTCTTGGGGACAGGGTCATTAAAGCCAGTGATTCTATAAGGCCTACGTGCCCCCGACTCAGGACCCCTCCTGTCACTGCTATGGTTCCCCTCTTATGGGGCACCACTTCCTCTGTGTTAAGTGACAGAGATGAAAGGATTCACTCCAGAAGCCCCTGAGATGCAGCTAAGACGTCCCCAGCCCTTTCCCATCAGAACATTAGCTTGGACTGTTCAGCAGACTGGCTCTTGTCAACCAGAAGATTCTGAAAGCCTGTCTGCATGGTAATGGAAGGAAAGCAGGACAGCCAAGAAAAATCACCACGAAGCATTTAAAGATGCCAGGTCAAGAAGAACAGGGCAGTGGGGATGCACGAAGGGGCAGCCGCTGTGAAAACCAGTTTGGTGGTTCCTCAAAAATTAAACAGAATGAGGGCCGGCCGAGTGGCTCAGTTGGTTACGAGCTCGCTCGAGAGTGCGAGCTCTGAACAACAGGGTCCCCGGTTCGATTCACAGCCTGAGCTGAGCTGCTGCTGAGATGCCAACAGGTGGCAGGATGGCTCAGCTAAAAAAAAAAAAAATTAAACAGAATTACTATAGAGTCCAGCAATTCCACTCTTAGGTATATACCCCGCCCCCAAAATTGAAAACAGGTGTTCAAACAAACACTTCTACACTAAGGTCCCCAACAGCATCACTCACAATGGCCAAAACGTGGAAAGGGCCTAAATGTCCATCACAAATGAACGGATCAACAAAACGTGGTCTAGCCACACAATAGAATATTATTCAGCCATAAAAAGGAATGACACCTGCTACAACATGGGTGAACCTTAAAAGCACTGCGCTAAGTGAAAGAAGCCAGACACAAAAGGCCACATAACGGAATCTGGAAAGACCTGGAATGTGAAACAGACAAATCCATAGAGACAGAAAGCAGATTAGGGGTTGCTTAGGGCTGGGGGGTAGGAGGGAGTGCTTCGTGGGTCCGAGGTTTCCTTTTGGGTGATAAAAATGTTCTGGAACTAGACAGAGGTGATGGTTGCACAACGTTGTGAATGTATTAAATGTCACTGAATTGTATGCTTTAAAATAATTTAAATGGTGAATGTTATGTGTATTTCACTACAATAAAAAAAATT